CTGTGTAAAAAATTTTAAATTAAGATATTATTTCAAACTAAAGATATCTTTGTTAGAAAGTAGAAAAACTAGAAAGTTTGTAAATGGAGAAAAACGCAAAAAACAAATATAATAAACACAAAAAAACAATAAACAGTTCAAGTAAAAGAACCAGAAGCATAGCATTCGCCCTCGTTTTCTCTTGTGTTATTATTGTAGTCTTTTTTAATTGATCTTAGTTTTTTTCTTCGGTTTTTTTGTCTAGCTCTGCTGACTTTTTGTTCAATCCTAACGCGTTTAACGTCAATATTTAGAAGCCCTTTCAAAGTATACTTTCCTGGTACAATACCAATTTTGGAATATATAGGAAGTAGTCCCAAGGAAGCTTCATTGAAGCAAATAACAGCAGATGCTGCAGCCATATCTAAAGAATCTTTTCCTGTAAGAACTCTTTTTGAACATTTGGTCCATACCATGCTATTCAAAGATTCATTAACATTTTGAGTTTTACCGTGCAAACATTTTTCCAGCAGCTTTTCGTTTGCAAGATGATATGAAAAGATTGCTTTAAGGATATTTGCAACTGCTTGAGAAATATTTATATTGGACTTATAAGTATTTTTGCCTGTGACTAAGTCAGAGTTATATTTGCACCAAGATTTGGCTCCTATCGGACAGAGTTCATGACGTTTCTTTGAGTCATCATTTTTACAAAAATGAAAAATTATTGCACCAACTACTTTTTTCATTTGGTAAAGACTATTTATGTTTTGGCGTATTAACAAACCATAATAATTCAGTAGCCTATTAATTACTTTGTCAGTAAGGCATCCTTTACCAGATAAAGGTTTACCATCTGATAACAGTTTACCTCGATAGTTTATTCGCAAAGTTCTTAACCGTGCACTACATCGCTTTTGTACATGGCATACACATTCTGCTTTTTTTATTTCAAAGCCTGGATAAGGATCTGTTGCAACAACTCTTTGGTATGACTTGGTATCACCATCACCAATGTAAGTAGTGTATTGCAAATTTCGATTAATTACTGAACGACCAAAAATTTTTATTGCACCTTCTACTTCCATAGCGCCAGAGCTGCCTACATGGTTGATTTTACAATTGTGGCTAAGTTTCCACAGTTTGTAGTCAGCTGACTCTTGTTTATTTTCCCAAAAACTATAAGACTTACACATTTTGGAAAGAACTTCAATGTCAACACACTTTCCGTTAGATATGAGGGTGACTACACCATTTAGAGATGTAAACCCACAACGTTGCCATGATCCATCTGTACTTGCAGATACGTTGACAACTGCATCTTTATGGTAGGTATCATTGAGCACATCTTTTCTGATTTCAATTGCTGCATTTCTCATTGAATATTCTGCTACCTCAACATATAAATCCTGTAAGTTCTTGTTTGCAGTCTCAAATGGTTTCGAATTCATTGGTGTAGGCATTTCATAATAGAACAAAATCTTTTCATAGCAGTATAACCACAACCTATCTCACGAAAAGCCATATTTAACAAGTAATTTACTTCATAGGATTTACGACCATTTATTCGATGATCCTCTATAATTAGTTTTGAAGTTAAAAAATTTGTATTCCAATCACATTCGTTGCACGAGAGAAGGAAAATGTGAGCAAGTCCTTTTTTGTTTTCCATGTCATGAAAAACTTTACTTTCAGCTGTGCAATTTGGGTACCGACCAATCATGCTAAGTAAATTAATTAACAAATTTGAATTCACAATTAAATTTAAGTTATCATTACAGGCTTTCTTTTGAGTTGTGTTTTTTACTTCCAAAAAAGATAAATCGATTTTGTTAGAAGAAACTGATGTATGTGCAACTGTTGGTGAATCACCTGGAGTAATGTTGATGTAAAGGTTAAAACTTTTTTTGAAATCGAAAAAAATGTATTTTGATTTTTTTTTTATCACATGTAATCAAGGCCGGTGCAATAGGGGTGTGTGGGGGGTGTGACACCCCCCCCCCCCCATCAATGGTTTTTAGTCGGCAAACTAGACCCTTAGTCGGCAAATTGGACCATTTTAGACTAGTTAGTCGGCAAAAATGTCGACCCTTTCGATATAGGTTAGACAGTCGGCAAAAGTCGTCATGGCAGTTGGCAAATTTTGGAAAACGAGGATTTTTTTTTTTAGTCGGCAAAAGTTGTAATGGCACCCCCCCCCCCCCCACACGTGACACTTACTCGCGCCGGCCCTGCATGTAATATATATCCGTCTGTTGGATGATAGAAACAGCAATTTTCTAAATACAACTTCTATATTTCATTATTTTAAGTTGCTCTTCCATAACAACAACCGTTCATAAAAAAAACTCCCACTATTTTAAATACGAGTTTACTAGGTTGTTGAATAAGTTTTGTCATTCGATTAGAGATGGCGCTATGAGGTTTCTTGTTTTGTTTTTCTCAAAATGTTACTACTTTTTTATGAACACGTGTAAAGTTATACGTAGAACTGTTAGCTTATTTGTATATTTACAGGTGTTCAAAGTTTCAAAGTTTTTACAATGGAAAAAATTGATTACTGTGCAGTAAAAAAATTCCTATTTTTTGAATGCGTAGCACCAAAACAATTTCATTAAGGTGGTATACCCACTTTATCTTGGAAGTGAAATCTTATAATCAAAATTAAAAATAAGCCTATGAAAAATCTTATTAAACGAAATTGATTTATAAGAATATGTTGTCATGACAACCACCTAAAATGGCGGATATAAGAAAATATGCACATCGTACTGTCAAAAATATCTCAAATTCTAATAAAGAGTTCGTAGTAAAACTTGGCCCAATGATAAAAAACAGTTTGACCCATGCAATCTGCCAAAAGTTTTTAAATCTGACTATTAGTTTCCATGTAGCACTACACGGATTATGAAGTTTTTTAAATAAGCAATTTTTTAGTGCTGAAACAGCAAATCTCAAACTCTGAAATTTTTTATAATTAACTTTTGACAGATTGCATGCATCATATAAAAACACATCACTGTTGAAATTTGATTACTAGAAAATGATATAACTGTGACGGGAGATTGAAAAATAAAAGTTAGCTTTAAAAATTAAAAAAGAGAAAAATATGCAAATCAGTTACTGAATAACAATGGCTAATAAAGTGCTATCAATAATTCTGTATCCACATATATTTTTTTTATTAGAACTTACAGAAGTATTAATAGGGTTTACCTTGGAATAAGATACATTTATTGAGCTCTGTGAATCTGTAGAAGGTAGAAAACTAGTATTTGCTGAATTTGTTTTATTTAAAGTATATTGATTTCCATGAATTCTTTTTTTTTTGAGTTTTTTTATTGAGTAGCGAATTTCACTCACTCTCTACCCATTAAAAGTATAAAGTTTAGTCTATATAAACAAACAGATGCATAGATATATATAACTTTAAGATGGCAAATCGTTTTAAAGAAACTTCTGGAGGAAGTTTATGAGAAATCCGGTTACAGCTTTTACTAATACAGATGTTTTGACGAATGGAAAATAGAAACAAATTATTAACTCATTTTAATAAGCTTTTTTCTCAGTATTAAAATAATAAGTTTGAGGAGAATTTCTTGGCCAAATAAAAATTTAACCGTTGCTATGGAGGTTGTCAAGGGTGCTTAAAAAAGTAAGGTTCAGTAAAGTTTATTTTCCTCAATTTATATACTGAATTTAAAAAAATGGTATTCGGAATATGATTCTAATAAATTTTAAATAAAATAAAACAACAAATTTTTTTTTGAAAAATTTGATATTTCTTAGGGGTATACCACCTTAAGAGTGTATAAGGACTCTTTACATTCAATTAGAATAGTAGAAAGATGGAATGCCAAAACTTAAACGTGGTTGCACAAGTTTTTAAGATGATCCACGTCAAGGACGTACAAAAAGTGCATTAAAACCAGAAGTCGTAGCAAAAAAACAACATTTGATTTTGGAAGATCGTCAATTAATTGAGAGAGATTTAGTAGAAGCTCTAGGCATCTCATTAGGTAGTGTAAACAATATTTTGAATAAAGTTTTGGGTTTCAATAAGTTGTGTACTCAATGTATGTAGCTTTGCTGAAGATGAAACAAAAACATATTTAGTTGCGGCTTTCTTAGCAACATTTAGCGTTTTATAAAGAATCAAAAGAATTTTGTGCGTCGTTTCTATGTTCAGCTTACTATGGCTGAGACTTGGGTCAACCATTATTACCCTAAAACAAAACAAAAGGATAAGTGGTGTAAACCTAGTACATTGGCTCCGAAGCGAGTAAGGGTCTAGTATTTGGTCAAGAAGCATCATTTTATTGCAATGCAAATGAAATTTTGTTTTCGTATTACCTTCAAACTAGTTGAACAATAAACTCAGATTATTATTGTAATCTTTTGGACCGGTTTTGGACATTTGTGAGAAATGGACTAGTTTAGAAAGAAAAAAAATTACTTTTCATCAAGAAAACGCATCGTCTAACACAGCTCAAAAAACCATCGCAAATATATATATATATATATATATATATATATATATATATAAATATATATATATATATATATATATATATATATATATATATATATATATATATATATATATATATATATATATATATATATATATATATATATATATATATATATATATATATATATATATATATATATATATAGCAAAATAGATAAGCAAAATAGACTACTGACTAAAATTCTAGAAACAACATAAATAACTATTATTTATTGTTTATATTGTTAATTATAAAATTATTATTGTTAAAAGTTGTCACAGATTTAACATAACATAAAGTCTCAACAGCAATAGTTATTATTATTATAATTATTATTATTATTATTATTATTATATATGTATATATATATATATATATATATATATATATATATATATATATATATATATATATATATATATATATATATATATATCAATAAATTGTATATGTATATTATTATGTATAATTTTTATTTTATAGTTAAATATTTATTTTTTAAGTTGTTACATTAAATATGTGCTTTAAGGTTCTGAATATATACATGAAAGTTTAAATATAGCTGCAAATAATGTCAAATATTGCAACTGCAAGAATTCAACGAGAATTTAAAGAATTTATACGCAGTGAAGAAGTTTCAAAGAATAACATCAAATTAGAGTTAGTCGATGGTGCAAGTTTTACTAAATTAAAAGGTGAAATTGTTGGTCCACCAGACACACCATATGAAAATGGAAGGTTCAAGCTGGATATAAACATTTCAGAGTTGTACCCATTTCATCCTCCCAAAATTAAGTTCTTAACAAAAATATGGCATCCTAATATCAGTTCTGTTACTGGTGCAATATGTTTAGATGTTTTAAAAGATCAATGGGCAGCAGCAATGACATTAAGAACAGTTTTGTTATCAATCCAGTCATTGCTTGCTTCTCCTGAGCCTGACGATCCGCAAGACGCAGTTGTTGCTCAACAGTACAAAGAACAACACGAGGTATTTTTAAAGACTGCAAAACATTGGACTATTACTTATGCTAATGGTAGTAATGAATTAGATAATGATTGTCAAATGAAACTTCAACAGTTGTTAGATATGGGATTTGATAAAGAAAATAGCACAATAGCCTTGTCAACACATGGTTGGTTAATAGAAAAAGCAGTTGAGGCATTGTCAGGATTAGGATTGGGTAACAGATCAAAAAATGTCAAAGAAGGTATTTACTGTATATTAATATTAATAAAGATGGTCTAAATAAACTTTACATTCATTATTATGTCTTTGCTAATTTTTTTTGAAATTAAAATAATCTCAAATTCTGCCTTTGATATTTTTTAGCTTAATCTTAGATAGTTTGGATTTTTTTCAACTTAACCTTTGATTATTTAGTGTTAAATTATTTTGTAAAAATTTTTTCAAAAAACTTGAAAAAGTAGCTTTTTAATAAAATTTAAAAAAGTAAAAGTATTAACATTCATTAATTACAAAAAATTGATAATTAATAATAGAAAATTACCAAGCCTAACAAAGAAAACACAAAAATGTGAGAAAGTCTTAACCTTTGAAAGCTGAATTGTGAATTGTTTAAATTTTTTTTTGTTTTTTTTTTTTCAGATTAGCAACCATTGATAGTAAATATTTTCAGTAAGTTTTTAATATGAAGAAAATTGGACATGATTACGTCATTCAATATTTTTATCTAAAAGGTCTCAGTCCAACCAATATCAAAAGTGAACTAAATTCTACTCTAGGGTAGTCTGCTCCTCGAAATATTGTGTTGCAGAGTTTTAAAGAAGCCATATGACCTGTCAAGATAAACCCTGCAGTGATCGTCCAAATGAGGTCACCACACCAAAAATTTTTAAAAAAATCCACAAAATCATACTGGATGATTGTTGATTGAAAGTGCTGGAGTTAGCTGATATAACATGCATATCAAAAAGTGTAGTACATTGCATATTGACTGAAAATCTACATAAAAAAGCTGTGCGCACAATGAGTGCCGCGTTAACTCACAATCGACCAAAAATAACGTTGTGAGGATGTTTCGATGATTTTTTTGAAGATGTTTCACAAAAATAAGACAGAATGAAACAATGGACCAAAAAGGAAGAATCGGCTCTGAAGAAGGCAAAAACAACTTCATCAACTGGAAATTTAAATAATTTTCATTGATTATCTTAAAAAAAGAAAAAACCATCAACGGTGCATATTATGCAAACTTATTGCAGCATTTGAGTGAAGAAATCAAAGAAAAATATTCGCATTTGGTGAAGAAAAAAGTGTTCTTTCATCAAGACAATGCACCGGTTCACACATCTGTTGTTGCTATGGCTAAAACTAATGAATTAAAGTTTGAATTGCTTCCTCACTAGATTTGCTAGATTTAGCCCCCTCAGATTATTTTCTATTTCCAAACTTGAAAAGTTGGCTTGGTGGAGAAGATTTTTTTTACAAATGAAGAGTTAGAGTCTGGTGTTGATGGCTATTTTGCAGAGTTTTATGGTTTTTCCTATAAACAAGGTATCAAAGCGATTGAACATCACTGGGAAAAGTGCATCGAGCTAAAAGGCAACTATGAAGAAAGAAAAATAATTTTTTTCAAAATTTTTGTGTTTTCTCTGTTAGGCTAGGTAGTTCTGGGACAACCCTTGTATATACAAGTATAATATATAAAATTATATATAAAATTCATAAAAAAAACTCCAAAGCGATCCATTTATGTATAAATTTTTTTTTGCATAATTAACAATTAAAAGGTGCTGAATTTCATTGTTCAACCGATAAGTCTATAAAAAGTTAAAGTAATAATGATTATTATCATTGTCATGATCATATATATTACTTTAACTTTAAACAACATTACTTTAAACAACATTAGCAAAATCATGATAATGAAGTTTTTTTTCTTTTCTTTGTTTTTATTTAGATTTGGCAAGGTTGTCTGCTGAACTAAAAAATTTTTATCTTAATGGGGAAATTAGCAAACTTCAGCCACCATTTAATGTACCTGTAAAAGTTGACTTAATACATAAATATGTTGATCTATGTATTGTTGATGCAGAGAAACCTCAAATGGATGCTGATTTTATTATTGAACGAAAGAAATTTCTTGAAAAGCAAATGAGTTATACACCAACTCCATACAGTGACATATTTATGAACGAAAAATCTGTAATGTTAATATCTGGAATAGCTGGTATTGGTAAAACATGGTTTCTTAGAAAGTGTTTGCTCAATTGGTCGAATAATTTGATTTGGAATAACGTTGAACTTGTTTTTTATTTGGAATGCAGGAGGCTTAATCAATATCAAAATATTTTTAATATTAATGAATTAATAAATGTTTTCTACAAAGATATTATAAATGATTTTGATATTAGTAAGCATACTGCATTGTTTATAATTGATGGATTAGATGAATTTAAATATATAAATGAATTACTAAATCCAAGTTCATGTTGTACCTATCCGATTGTCAATGCTTTAGCAGAAGTTCAAAATTATAAACATGTAGTTGCTGGTAGAGTTTATGCAATTGATCAATACCAAAATATTTATACAAAGAAAAATCATAAATTAACAATTCAAATAATGGGATTTAATGAAAATGGAATAAATAATTATGTAGAAAATCATGTTAATGAAGAAAAAAAAGAAGTTGTAAAAAGAACTTTGAAAGAATCTCCAATAGCAAAAGCTATGGCATCTGTTCCATTTTATTTATCTTCAATGTGTGAAATTATTAGCGATTCAAACAAAATATATACTTCTTTCTCAACAATGACAGATTTGTATGCAAATGTATTTTTATACTTTTTGCAAAAACACATAATCAAAAATAATGGGTTGGTATATCAAATGATGGAAAATGAAAAAAATAAGAAATATGTTTTAAACATTTGTAGAATAGCTTTTGAATTGTTTGTTAAAAATAAATTTACTTTATCGAAGATGGAATTTTTATCATTTATTAATGACATTGATGGAGTTGAGGAAAGTTATTTTGGGCTTATTGAAAAGGTTAAAACAAATACAGGTTGTTATTATCAATTTGCACATTTGGCAATATTGGAGTTTTGTACATCTGTGTATGCATATAATTGTTTAAGTAGTGAAGAGATTATGGCAAATGAAACACTAAAGAGTTGTTTATCAATGATTTGTGGTTTAGCCAATAAAAACCAAAATAGTTTATTAAAGTTTCTTGTTAACCTGAATCCTTTAAAAAAATCTAATGAAGAATCTTTACCTGTGTTATCTATTTTTGGTGAGTTCCAAAACTTTGTTGCATTATAGTGATTCTTTTTAAATAGTCATTAAGGTTCATTAAGATGTAAAAACTATAGAAATTGTATTAACAGAAATTTTTTTTTTTTTGTTAATACAAGATTTTTTTAATAAGTTTTTAATTTGTTAATTGTAGATTTGTTAATAGTTTTACTATATGGGCGTTTTTTTTTACAAAAAAAATTTTTTTTTTTAATCTTTATTTCTCTGATTGATATTCTATATTTTAGTACATTCATTTTTGGTACATAATTTTACTTAATTTGGTACATTCAACTTACATTAAATTTACATAATTTGGTACATTCAACAAGTTGGCAAGTTTTTTAAAAAGAAATCTAAAAAAATTTCATTAAAATTTTTATTAAATTTTTCCATATATATCCATTTTTTGCTTTATAAATTCTGGAAGTGGCGATGTGATTTTAGTCATTTTTGGATTTAATACAAAATTACTTTCATTAATATATTTTTTATTTTATTTGGGATTTAAATTAATGGCATTTAAATCATGCAACCAACAGTAGGTTTAAAGGCATGAGTAAGATGCACATCTAAATTACTTTAAGGCTTGTGGTTTAACTTAGCGGTGGGAGGCGGTAAGAATAATGTATTCTCTCTGGTTCTGACTCCAAGTTCCAAGTTTAAAGAAATATAATTATCAATCATACAAAGTTTAGTTTTATAATTATATTACTTTAAAAACAAATGTAATTATTTTTTTTAAATATTTCAATTTTATAAAAATAATATAAAATTTGTTTCTAAAATGAAATTGCTTTAATCAAGTTTGTCTTTATAGCAGCTCTCAAATCTGATCAATCCAATATTGTTTTCATTGTCGAAAATAAACGCTCCACACTTACTTGAGTTAGGGGCACTGCAATAAATGCTTGGGTATTTCTGGATGCTTTATTATTGCAACACTGAAATCTTTAATTGTCTATCAAAAATTTCTGCCTTAGCAAAAGATTTAAATATTGACAATTTAAGATAAATAATATACTAAATTTATGATATGAATAAAATGTACAAATCAATCAAATTTAAAAAAATTTATTTGAAATTTTATTTTAATTGCTTTTAGATTTCCCATAAAAAAAAATTTAAATATCCTGGCATATCAAAAATAAAATAATAGAAAGTAGACTAAGGTGTCTCTTAAAACAACATTTTTGAAAATAATCTGCTCTCACCCCCTAAATGTGTTCTAATACAAAAACGCTAGGTTTAAATATTTTTTGAATAGAAAATATTTTAAGGGGTCCCCCAAGGCCCTCGCATATTTAATGGGCCCTATATTTTCAAAAAAAAGGTTTTTCAAAGAATATGTCAACCTGATACTCAAATGAAGCAAAATTATATAAAAATTTTAAAAATGATATTCATTTCGAAAAAAAAATTGTAATTTTTTGTTTTATTACATGAAAAATTTTTAACTAATAAATAAATGCAATTTTTATGTTTTTTTATAATAATTTTGATCAATAAGTTAATATATTTTCGAATTGAATATTATTTTTGAAATTTTTATAAAATTTTGCTTCATTTGAGTACCAGGTTGACATATTTTTGAAAAATTTTTCTTTTGAAAACATTAAGGACCTATTAAATTATGCGGTAGTGGTGTAGTGGAAGAGCGCTCGCTTCATAAACGAGTGGTTCCGAGTTCGATCCCCACCACGTCCCTGGTAGTACCGCGCTCAACTCGTTTCTCCGCGCAGCGGCCTTGTTCGTCAAGGTTCGTGTTTCAGAGTTATAGAGTTGAGAGAGGGTTATAGCCACAAAATAAGTAGCCTCCTCATTTGTAGTGGCCTTCTCGGCCTTGAGGAGGTGAAGTAAAATTAAAAAAAAAAAAAAAAAAAATATTCGAGGTCTTGGGGGACCCCTTAAAATATTTTTTATTCAAAAAAAATTTAAACCTAGTGTTTTTGTATTAGATAAAACACATTTAGGGGGTGAGAGCAGATTATTTTTAAAAATGTTGTTTAAGGGACACCCTAAAGTAGACAATCAAATTTAATTTTTGTGTGCTATAATTGTAAATTATATAACTATAATTGTAATAAAATAGAAACTAAAAATTAAACGTTTGACAGTAAAAATTACTCACAATGCCATAATGTTGGTAATTCTTAGTGCTTAATGAATTATTCTCTTTATAAGCAATACTGTAAATCAGGTAAATCATTAAATTGTGTCAGAGGCAGTAATTTATGTTGAGCTGGCCATTGGTCTAATTTAATAGTTGTATAGTGCATGATAAGAGCTATAAAAAGTTATAAATAGCTATAAAAAGGAGTTCTAGGAATATGAAGAATCGTTTGTTCCAAACCTTGCATGAATGAGGAGCAATCCATAAATTAATGTCAACAATGGTAAAGCATCATTGTTTGTGCAATATTTTATAGGGTCATATTGTTATTATCCCCCAAAAATGCTGATTTAAAACAAAATTGATTTTTAAGAATAACGTTTTAATTAAAGACAATATAAATTTTCAACTCTTTTACTTCTCAGCAGTTTTTTTAATTTTTTTTTTAAATTTATTTTGTATTGACCAAAAAAGTTTTTTAACAATTGCTTAGAAAAAACTTTTATCTAAAAAATCTGCAAAAAAAAAATACAATTTATTTTTCTGATGTTTAGATATTGATTTCTAAATAAAAACTTTCCTTTTTTTCTTAGTAAGTCTTTTCTTTAAGAAAAAAATTGCTATTAAAAAGAGCTAATAGGTGGAAATATCATTTTTGTGCAAATAGCATTTGTTTTGAGTGATTAAAAATCATTTGAAAAGATTCTTAGAAAAAGTAAAAAGGTTTATTATTTTTTTGGCCCTAAAGGGGAGAGCAACAAGTTCATAATTTTTGTCATAAACTATTTTTAACTAAATTCATATTAATATAGAAATTTCAAATTTTATGAAAAAATCTTTCATAATTCAAGAATTATGTCAATCTTAAATTTGTAACCCCCTCAAACTGATGGGGGTTAAAACTTTAAACCGCTGTCATTTTTGAACGCTATAAAATTATTGCACGATATTTAAAATTTCTTATAAAAAATGAACTTAGTTAAAAATAGTAAAAAAAAAAAATAATTGCAAACTCATTGCTCTTACGTTTGGGACAGGGGGGGTAAAAAAGTAGGGTTTTTATTGTTCTTAGGCTCCAATCATCCCAATAATATGCAAAACATCTTTATTTGACATGAACATAAACTTATAAATGTTTGGATTTTATATTATGTTTGGAAGTTAGCTTTCTCAAACAAAACAAAAAGACAGAATCCACCCCTTGTCTCAAATATATAAAAATGCCTTTATTGTTATTTTTAGTTTTATTTTAGACTTGAAAAGATCTCTGCATTAGAACTGTTTGAAAATTTACTTTACATTTACATATTAATATAAAAATTATACTAAAGATTCATTAAAAAACTTCTAGTATTGTGTCAAAATGAGCTTAACAAGACAAAAATTTCATAAAGAAAACAGGAACAGTGCTCAAAATAGTTTTTCAAAGCTTGCCAATCAAATGTAATTTTTTCACTAAAACAGGGTATTTTGCTTTGCATTTTTCGAAATTTACCTAATTTATTGAGGATGGGGAACTTAATAAGGATATGAAAAGCTATAAAAATGTCGTTCGACCATGCCTAATTGAGAAATTTGGAGAAACTCTTGTTATTAATTTAGTTCCTCCTCCTGAATTACATTTGTTTGAACATATTGTTACACAAATAACAGATGTTTTGATGGCTGAGGGGTCAATTAAAAAATTCCTAATTGGTAAAACTGTAACTAGGCACGGTTACAATGGAGGAGGATTTGATGGACCTAACTGTTAAAAAGAACTTTCTTGCTTGGATGAACTCATAACTATAGCTCCACTCCTGATGATATCCTGTATTGAGACTTTAAGGAAATTCAAAATCGGTATGTAATTAGTTAATTACTTTTTGACTTATAGTTTATAAGTAATTATAAACATAATTTCTTTGAATTTGTTCATTTTAGTGACAGAAGGATGTTTTGAAATGAAGCTTTCTCTTGAGTTCAGCAAAGATATTCAGGAATTTGTCTCAGAAATGTGCAACTTGCATAAGTATCTGATAGAATACACGACACACAAGATCTGTCTAGGTTGGAAATTTCCTTTCATACAGTCACACCTCATCATGTTTTGAAAGAAAAAACAAACCCTTGAGATTTTTCAGTGAGCAAAGCTGTGAAGCTGTGCACAAAAATATTAACAAGATAATGAAAAGATTTGCAGCTTTGGAGCTGAGCAAATGCCATGAAAATGCCTGAGCAAAACGGCCTAAACCTACTCTAGTATGAGGATGTGAATAATTTAATATATAGAACTAAATATTGCATTATTGTAAATAAAGAAGTAATCATGAATAAAAAAAGTTTGAAAAAATTAATACTTTGTATTTGTCTCAGTGTTGTTTCATTCTAGTGAAATTCAAAGTTTATAGATAGTTGAGACAAGGGGTGGATTCTGTGTTTTTTTTTGTTTTTTTTTGTTTGAGAAAGCTAATTTCCAAACATAAGATAAAATCCAATAATTTTATAGCGTTCAAAAATGACGGCCATTTAAAGTTTTAACTCCCCTCAGCTTGAGGGGGTTACAAATTTAAGATATTTAAAATTAAGATTTACAATTACAAATTACAAATTTAAGAAATTTAAGAAATTAATGATTTATGACATAATTCTTGAACTATGAAAGATTTTTTCATAAAATTTAAAATTTCTAAATTAATATGAATTTAGTTAAGAATAGTTTATGATAAAAATTATGAACTTGTTGCTCTCCCCTTTAAGGCAGGGGGCAAGATTTACAGGATTTTCTTAGTTCCCTGGCTCCAAATATTTTGATATTTTTACAAAACTTCCTTGTTTTGAAACTAGTATAAACATATAAATGTTTGGAGTTTACTCTATGTTTATAATTTGGTATCTAAAACACC